CGGGGTTTTCCTTTTTATTCCGCTCTTCTTGTAAACTCTTCGAGTGCCCTCCTAGAATTCATTGTACTCCCAAAAGAAGATGAACAGTTTGATTGACAGAATCAACTCTTAGATAACTTTGAAGGCTCCGACAAAGCTTCAAATCTAAATTGTAAAGTTGTAAGGCGTAATCCTCATATTAAATTTCAAAACAAATATCAACTTCCCACTGATCAAAAGGACAATCTTTCACCACAATTTCAGGATTCATATTTTCATGTAAAACTTCAGTTGACGCCCGCGCTTGTGCTTGAAGAAGTCTAAAACCGACTGTCCTCACGTGAGGTTAGATATTTCTTCGATCTCTAAAGTGCCTTAATTTCCATGGTTAGTATAAATATTTCAAGGGATAAGCCTGAGGTGTTTCCTTGCTTGTAGCTGTTAATCTTGCATTGTAAGGTAGGTGGCAATCTTAACTACAAGAATAATAGTTCTGATAAGGATAACAAAAAGTTGCACGTACGATTTCTCAGGATCTCGTAGGGTCACGGAAGCAAATATGAGTAGGAGTGATTGCCACAAGCTTTTTAACAGCTTTGTAAAAGAGAATCACTTTTCCTTTTTAAAAGTAATGACAAATCTTAATAATTAAAAACGCAACGTGAATAAATAATCTGAGTGAAAAAACTAGACTCAATCTCTGGATCTAAATGCTTAAAAAAAATTCATTCTTCAAAGTGAAAATTAATTATTGTACAAGTGACTAGTATGTTTTTGACAATTTCAGTTGCCACTAAGAAATAACACCTTTAATTTTTAATATTATTTAAAGTAGTTATTTTTCCCTTGATCAAAAACCGTGCTTGATTCTCGTAGCAACTTGCTTGAGAATATTGAAACGTTCTCTAGCAATACAACACTACAATAATAATGATAGAAACTGATCTATCGTTCTGCCAGTTTGCCGCAAATTTTAAGAGCTTAAATCCCACAAAGAATATTGAACTAAGAAGGTCATCGAGCAGGAACCGCAATCTTGAATCTTCCAGGGAAGTTAATTACATTTTTTTAAAATCGAATTATTTTCTTACATTGTCCCTGAGGAGCCAAATTTTGTTCAATTTAATTTCATAATTGATAGACGTCTTGTCATTACTGAACATTTTGTGTTGCTTAGGGGGGAGATTGTGGCGGAACTGTTCAAAGGACAAACTGAAAAGCTGTCTAATTATATTTCCCACTCTAAATGCTTCTGCCGATTCAGTTGTTATGGAAACTAACTCACAAAAAGCCATCTCATCAAAGACTGCTTCATCAACAACTATGATGATGATTGAAAGAAGATATTATTCAGTGAATGACATAAGCGTACTCGGAGGAAAAATAACTCCGAGTGTTCCAATAGGAGTCGAACCAACGACCCTGCGATCGATACTTCGCATGCTATCTTCATCTAAGCTAAGAAACAAAGAGACGTATTCGACATTTACAACACTTCCTTTTTCAGAGATTTAACGAAGGAAACAATCCTGAGTCGCCCATACTGTTCACGTGGTTATCTCATGCGGTGTGTTCTCGTCTTACTCGTTGATTTGAGCACGCACCTGTTGAGAGGGCCTGCGTGAGTCCCTCTCGTGCTTTCAGTCACGTAACCAGTATCAACGAGTTCCTTATCTCTCTATGTTTCCGTATTGATGCTACTGTATATCTTTCAAAATTACGACGATCACCTTCGTGATAAGGTCAGATCTTTGAAAGCTCGGGTTTCTTTGCTAATTCTGCATAATTATGTTATCAGTGCGACAAGTTAAGTGTTCTGTTGTTTTAATACTACATTGAGAACCCGTGAGGATATCTTCGCCCCTTGGAAAATCATCGGTTACATCAGTCACTGAGTTTTGCATAACCAACTGCAAAGAGGAGTAAAGCATACTCGCTTTGGAGAACCTTGTAAATTATTGTTAGTGTTGCCGCGCACATAGCTTAATTTGTTAGATTGCCACACTTTCTTGACCTTGAAATGTTCGTCGTCATCATGAGGTTATAGTTTATTTTAATTACTGGTGCAGCTGTGAGGTTTTCTCGGCGGGGGGAGGGGGTGGGGATTGGAGGGAAGAGGGTGGTTTTACTCGGGCTGGTTCTGGGTAGTTATGTGCCCCTCCCTTTTCAAAAAGATGGGCTGAAAAATGGAAACAACGATAGCAACAAAAACGTCGACTTGCTACCCGTTGGGGACCATGCTCGGGATATAGTTAACTCAAAAAAAATTAAGTGGCGATACTTCCTTGCTCGTAAATTATAAAATTGAGCACTCTAAATTATATACCTTCATGTAGCAAATATGCTCAAATTCTGATCTTCTAGACCAGAGATTTTCAATTTGCGACCCTACTGGACACTTTCGTGATTCAGTCCATTTCGTGATGAATATTCACAAATTAACTTAGCGTTTTCGTTACTTTTCTCGAAATTTCCATGCATAAAAAACAATTTCCTCACTAATAAGCTGTTAATTATTAATAAACAGAGATTTCTCGACGAGACGTGAAAATAGACGCGATTTTTCTGTACTATTCTACGCAAATTAGAAGTAATGACTTGTGCAGAAAGCCATGATTCTCTTTTTCTTGGAAAACGTGTTTATGAATCCTGACATCAGATAAGGCCTTTACATCCGACATTTTATTAAAGATTTTACTTTGCCTTTAATGGCAAAATGTCGCCTGAAGCTCGATAAGTGGACTAAATCGGCCTAAATTGCTAAAAAAAATTGTTTTCACAATTTGACAACATAAACTTCTTGATAAGGATTTTTCTGCCATTGGGATCGAAGTTAGAATTTTCAAATCTTCCTCTTTGTTTCCTGCAGATTGGAAATGCAGATTTTTTCAGAAAAAAATTGATTTTAATCGCAATGACAGCAGCAGCTGCAGTAATCTTACGCAAAGTTGGTTTGATTTGCCATTGATTGCGGATAATAGTGTGAATCAAGAGCCGAAAAAAAGGAATAATCTACTGAAAAGCCATGATGTAAGTAACATTTGCAGTTTTTAGTAAGTAGCGCACAAACTTAACGCCAAAGTGTCACGTCACGGACCAAAAACCACAGGTATCAAACAGATATAAAGAAACCATAAAATAGATAATTCATTAAAAAAAAAATGCCTTTTATATATATATATATGCTACATTTTCCGTTTGGAACTTAAATGATTTACTCTAGGTTCCGCGTACTCGAAATAATTGAAACGATCGCATCACCCGAGCTGTACAGCTTTTCATTCACTTTTTTAGGTATAAAATGACTTCATTGTTGCCCATATAATTTTAACACTTGGCCCCAATTGCGATCAAGTTTAGTTGTATGTCGCCAATAATTGTTTTCCAAGTCTTTTGTTCCCTTCCGTAAAGCATTGCGTTAAAAACGAAGTGTCAAAAAATTAAACCTCCGGCCTTAATGTTTTCATGTTTCCTTTGAATCTTTAGTTCGTCTTACGTTTTCAGATATATTTTTTTTCACGTTTCCAGCATGTTCAATCGTCAATCTAAAGGAGTAGCCAGCCTTTGGCACATTAAAAAAGTCCCTTTCTATTCGGATTTGTTTTTTAAACGTCCCCTTGCGACGTAATACTTACTTATAATCTAAGTTTGTGGGTGCGATTCCAGGGCATGAAAAAAGATTAATAAAACGGAGGGTATGTAACCATGAACTTTGTCATATTTTTGCCCGTGAAGGTTTTGAAATATCCCCCCAAGACAAATTATAAAATTGCATTTGTTTTGACACACTTAGCAGGAAGAGATTTAATTAATACCCCACAATGAAGCGGAATGACTGATGCATTATTTCCTCACGTTATCACTTCATTTGAGAGGTGCTTACGACACAAAAGCCATTTGACACCTAAACTCAAAATTATGCTGATATAACAATGTCTCTTTCGAACCATCATTCTGTTTTAGCTAACCAATCAGCGTTAATGACTTTAAAATGAAAGAAAAGCATTAACTGAGGTGCTTCTATAAACAAAACAGAAAAAATTGAGTGGAAAGTCAACATCCTCAACCACACTTTTAGGGAGTCTTTACACGAGGAACGGAAATTTGGAGAAAACCGGAAGATCTGACTGTGGTGTGTCTCGAACAGCGTTTCATTGCTAAAAAGGACCGCAGTTTTTTGTAAAATGACTTAAAAAAAGGCTATGCAGTTCACTCAAGATGCTGTGAATTGACTGAGAAAGGACAGTTATCTCGTTTTCGTGCATGTTTCTCCGTATCTCGCGATGCGACATCAGGCAAATTTAACATTCCTTTTCCACTGGTTTTTAAACTTAGCAAAATGATTTATTCGGAAGCCAGGAGAGCTCTTCGAATTAAAAGAATCAGTTAAGATCCTAATTTTTAGTGAATGAAAAGGCTTTTTTGAGGAAGAAAGGCTTCGACAAACACGAAACGTGACTCAAATACTTAATTCTTTTTGGCTTAATCGACGATATTAACTAAAAATTGCGAAATCACAGCGGAGTTTTTAAATGCAATTTGTCACATAGGAAGAAAAAAAAACGTATCATCTTTTTTTTTTTTTTTCTTTTGGCAAGGTTTCCGTTTCCTAGCAACATTGTCTTTCAAAGTTTTTCTCATTGTGTTTTAGGATTAACCCTGCACGCTTTGTTAATCGTAGACATTGTGTGGGAGAGAAAATATTTATACCTCTTGAACTCGACGGATTCATAAGATGCTTAGAATGTATTCACGTTGCAAAGTTTAGCGATGAATGTGACGCTTACATCGAGGCTAATCTCGTCTTTTCAGCCAAGATAAACCGATTAAGAATTCTTTAATTGAGTATTACAACCACTGCTATTTCATCAGAAATGTCGTTAACAACAGATTTAGGTGTTAACTAATTTATTATGACGAATCCTCTAGAGAATTAGTGTTTTCTCTTGCCAAACGTCGGTTTAAAATCAATATTTTCAGATGACACAGGGCACTCTGTTATTCGCTTTCATATCTTTCAGGTGATGACAGCTAAAGCCAGAAGAAATCGAGACTGACGAAGCGACGGTACAAGTGGCTGATATGAACGAAAACTCATCCTCCGCTACTCAAAGTCTTCCCCCGCAAGCTCTTCCGACTTTGCCAAACGATGAAGTGGAAAATATTGCATCAACGATCCTCTACTGCTTTCTGTCGTTATTTGTAATACTTGGAAACGTCCTTGTCGTCGCAGCGTTTAGGTTTAATAGAAGGCTTCGCACTATTAACAATACCTTCCTAGTTGGCTTGGCCGTGTCCGACCTCTTGGTCGGGCTGATATCGATTCCGTTGTGGATCTACATTTCGTCTTGCCAACAATTAATAACATGCGTGATAAATCAGGACCTTCTGACATTTTATTCAACAGTGGACATTTTCACTGGCTGTGCCTCAGTGCTGCAGCTTACAGCCATCAGTATTGAACGCTATTTGGCGATAACTCGCCCGATAAACCATCGAGCTTACTCCATGTGGATTTACTACGGAATGATTATGACGGCCTGGAGCTTCGCTTTCATCATGGCAGGACTGTTTCCCGTTCAAATGAACAAGTGGCAAAAACCTTATAGTATTATCCTCTTCATTGGGTGCTTCGCCGTCCCAGCACTTATCATAGTGACTGTGTATGCCATCATTTTCCAGGCGGCTAAGGGGACCACCCGGGCAAGGGTTCATCCCGCAGGACACGGAGGAAACAGCGCACAAAGTGAAGCCAAAATTGCTGCCACCATTGCGGTTATCACCGGACTTTTTATAATCGCGTGGTTGCCATTTTGCATTGTGAACCTGTTTGCAGAGTTCTGGCATCATTTACTGCCACCTTTTCCTGAAATTCTGAGGCTAATTCGGTTCGTGAAGTGGATGCATTACTCCAACAGTATGGTAAATCCTATGGTGTATGCTTACCGCAATGGTGAGATGAGGAAAACCTTTAAGAGATTGTTGCTGACTTGTTTTAGCTGTCGTGGCGTCGGACACAGAACTATTCGGGCTCATGCCTCTGTCAGAGCCCATAGCAGAAGGAACAATGATCCATCTCCATCACGAAGAAGAACGAGAAATAATCGTAGCAACGACACGAACTCTTCCAAGCAAAGAATTACTCCTGGAAGGAGATTATCGCTTGAAAACAGAAGGATCGATAGTTCGAACCCCAGTGATAGCTCATTTCGGAATCGTCCTTGTTTGGTTCCCATCCAGAACAAAGTAGAGCGCTCACTATCGCCTTTGACGCCAAAGACTTCCGTCTAAGCTGTAATGGGTGACTGACATGATACTTCCTTTCAGAATTACGCTGCATCATATCATAAACATGTGAGAAGAATCAGCTTAAGGTTGTCATCTTCATATTTTATCAAATTCTCCAAACTAACTCTCGAGGAAATGTATGAAACCCAGAGGGGAAATATTACGGCTCAGACCCTCGGAGTCATGGGACGATGTGTCATGACAGCGTTCACGATAGAGCGCTTTCGATTGAGTGTCGTAAAACCAAGACAAAGGTAGTCGAAATGCAGCCAATCAGATCAGATAAGAAAATCACAAGGAGCCGATGAGAGCTCATAGAGAAACAAGCAAACTTCCCGAAGTGCGGTAAAACGCGAATGATCAAGACGCGATTGGTCCTAGTTTTGAATTTGATTGATTGAGAGAATGGCGCAAGTTTTCTTGGCCAATCACAGATCAAAGTTAAACGAAATTAAGGAAATTTTAGATTAATTTTCACTCTCAATGGAAAACGCTCCCTCAAACGCATAGAATGTATCTTCAAATCTTAGGGGTAAAAGGTGTAAATGACTGGAATGAAGTAGATAAGAAGCGTGTGAAATGAAAATTATTTTTAACATCAAAACTGTTCAATTGTGACCTTTTCTTCATTCAAAAAAAATTTCGTGCCTCAATGGAAAATTTGTGTTGCTCATGGATCTCGAGCATGCTGGTAACACAAAGTCTAACTTAAACCTCGAGTTAAGATTTAGAAACAGAAATTGAAACATTCATAGGAACCTGTAAAAGACAACAAAAGTTAGGAAAAGGAAATCTCGAGACTTTCGAACACAACAGCCTGACAGGTTGTAAGCTCTTTTGCAAACGCGTAGACGTTTGAACGTCATCGTAAAGTGGGTCTGCTCTAGGCTGGAATATCTTTCAAAAATCCACTCATGAATACAATTAAAATATATCTGAGTGACAAAGCATGCTTATCCACGGACTACTCGGTAGAAAGCTACTGGTATCCATTGTTTTTTTTGTCCACGGATCTATGCATTCTCAAATGAGAAAAACGCTGTGAAGAGAAGTGAACAAGAAAACCGGCAGAAAACGAATTGTGGGTTTTGTTGTGGGCCTTATAAAAATGGACACCAAGTACATTTTTGCAGACTATTTCTTGAACAAGCATGGTGCACCATTTATTTATGCAAATCAAAAATATTTATGAAAAAGGATATCAGTTATCATACGCTTTAGCTAAAATAAAATTGCTCAATATTTGTCTGATATCTATTTTTAGGAGTTAGTGAACTGATTGGTGAGTCGGGTGTTCCGCGGCACAGATTTCAGATTTCTTTGGAGAAGGATTTAGAGACTATTTTGGTCTTACATGCACATAAATACATATAATATTCAGGATGTAGAATTGCTACATCTATATTAACAAAGATAATTTGGTTTAATCAACTAAGTTGATAATGTTAATTGAACACCGTTAGTATTTTCTGAAGCTTAGGTTTCGAGCGTTAGCCCTTCGATAAAAAAAAATTTTCTTGTTATAATTCCCACCGAAAAAGCACCATAGTTTCTTTTAAGTACGTGATAAGTCTATTACCAAACAAAGAATAGAACATAGGCGCGCGTAGATATGAAATTTCTCTTCGAAGCGATCGACCCGATATCTAACGAGTGAACGCAACTAACCATAAGCTTTTACTAACAATAAAAGTAGACTTGAATTATGACTGTGACTTGAAAGGCAATTGACATATCAGCAGCTGATTGGTAATATCAAACACAAGTAAAAAATTATGGTCATTTTGCTCGAATGAAATTAACGCATTCGCCAGGGCTGAAAATCCTTTTAAAACCTTGTAGTTTATATAATTAATACACTTTAGGCAACCTTTTGAGTAACGTGAAGAATTCAAACATATCGGTGTCATTATATGAAAGGTTCTCTCGTAGGACAGTAATAATATGACTGTGGATAAAGCGGACAAAGTATAAGGTGTAATCAAGCACACTGTAAGCCAATTCAAACGGTTTGAATTCAGGATTTAGTTATCTTTTGATATTTGCCTACTTGGTTTTTCTATTTTCTAGGGGAGTTTTTACAAAGGATATACCTTGTAACTCCCCTTTCAAGAAAAATAGTGATTTCAATCCTTATTTGTGTAGGTGTCCGGAGGGTCTTAATAAGGTAAACCGATAATTAGCTGTTAGGCGTAAAAATTGGCAAATTTTAGCTGTTAATCGTGGCAAAAGTTAGCCGTAAAAATGTTTCCTAGAACGTGTAATTTTGGCTCATTTTGCGTTGCTACCCGGTATCCAAGCACGTGACCTCTAGCTGCAAAGGGCTCATTGAATCAAATCTACCATCATAACCTTAGAAGGAAATCCTCTGAAAAAAACCAAGATCAATACGGTTCGCTCTATGGGTACCTATGTAAATAGATTGGTCTCTAAATATAATTTAGCACTAGAATAGTGGATTTTTCTACAAATTTTTACTTTGTACGCTTTAGATTTTCAAATTGCAAAATGGGAAATGTATTTTTATCCTATGAACGAATAAAGACATATTATTATTATTATTATTATATTGTCAGCCGTAAAATAACCAAAAGTTTAACCGTCAGCCGCGAAAGCTATCATCTATTTCGATCCTTTATTTAGGATGCAAAATTGCTACATCCATATAATATTATACAAACAAGATTTGAAATGAAAATTCTTCTTGCAAAAGGGAGTTACGAGGTCTCATCTTTTGTAAAAAGTTCCTTGATACGTTATGGATAAACTAACTGATAGAATACTTGATTCCACCTGAATCGATATGATATTGATATGATTGTCCTGAGAGAAATCCTTTCATGTCGTGACACAGATATCTTTGAATTGTTCACGTTTTTCAAAGGGTCACCAGAAGTGCATTTGATAACTGACTCATCATGTGAGTGAATGATGTGCATAGCCTCGTACTTGTCTTCGTGAAAACATGGCTGCCACCTAGTAGTTCACTCCAGATGCTTGGCGAGGTCAGTTTAAAGAAGATGATCTATAAGTGGGTAGCGAAGGGGGGGGACTGATCCCGTTTCACTCACAAATTTCAGAAAAATTCACGCTTTACTTATATAAAAGGGAAAACTTCAAATCTCTCTTCATGTGCACAAGGCTTCATAAAAAGGTTGAAGTTTTCACAAACTAAAGCATAGAAAATCAAAGGGTCACGTCTATTTCAGGAGGCAAATCATGCCTCACGCTGGTTCATAAATTCAAGAACCACGCTCGCTTTTCTGTAAAGTTATGCGTCACATATCAGTTTTGGCCTTAATCACGCATCACTGACAAACCCTTTTTCACCCTTCTATACACCTTTTACTGTTCCTTATGAGAAAATACGCATTCATTTGCACGAAAAGGCGAACAATTGCGTGAAGTTGCATTCATTAGCGACAAAAAACGATCATTTGCGCGCAAATCAGATTCAATAACGATTTTTGCACTTTAATCAGCATTCAATAGCATTCTTATGCGTCATTCGTCATACGGAAGAGAAAAATATACTGTTATTTGCGCTAACCTTCAAGTCATTAACACCATCATGAAAGGCAATAGAGACAATTGCGAGACATAAATATTAAAATGCATAAACTATTCATTAACATTTTTATCCCATCGTTTGCAATTCAATATCCTTCCTACACGACGTTAGTAAGATTAGGACAATCATTAATGCGCTTGCACAAGCTAATGAGCGTTTTTTTTACTTTCAATATTCAAATATCGAATTCTAATTGAAAAATACTCATTCCAATTTTATTTTATTCTGAATTTTAGTTGAAATAATCTCTTTATTCAAACATCTTGGCAGATAGGTCTGCATAAAGAGGTACCATTGTGCTCTTTAAGCTTGATGTATATCTTCCGTTGATTATTTCCTCCTGGCAATCTCTCATCTTATCATCTACGCGCACGTTGTTTCTACCACCTCGTGGTCTTTCTTGGATCCTGCCCTCTCAAATGTAGCGCGCCACGATGCCTCTTGCCGTTGATCGGTTTATTCCGAGCGTGTCTGCGACCACAAGATAGTCTTCCTCCAGGTCCTAAAATCCTCTTACGATTCTCTCTCTATGTTCGAGTGGTATTCGGTTTCTTCGTGGCATTTTGCTGGCGGCTTGAAGATGTTCACGAAACGAATGAACTGAAAGACATTTACTGAAAATGAAAATTTCAGGCAAAAAAGGTGCTCAGTTGAAAATCGATACTTGCATATTGAATGCAAAAAACACTCTGGTGTTTGAACAAGTGCTGTAATGATTGTCTTATTCACAATAATGCCATCCAGGAATTCAGCTGCTGAATTGCAAACAGTATGTTAAAAATATAAATGAATGGTTTCTGCTCTATAATGTTTGTGTGTTGTCTCTATTGGCATTTAAGATGGTGTTAATGACTTGAAGGTTAGCGCAAAGGAAAGTATATTTTTCTCTTTTGTGTGACGAATGACGCATAAGAATGCCTAAGAATGCCTAAAAATGCTCTTGAATTTTGATTAAAAGCAAAAATCTTTCTTATATCTAATTTACGCGCTAATGATCGTTTTTAGTCGCTAATGGATGCAACTTCACGCAATTTTTCGCCTTTTCACGCAAACGAATGCGGATTTTCTCATAGGGAACAGCAAAAGGTGTAAGAGATCACCATTACGCACAATGAGTTTAATTAACGCTTCAGTTGTGACTTAAGTTTCAATAGTCCCATTCTTACTGACATTAATTCCAACTTTTGCTTTTTGTTTATTGCAACAATAGTTGTTCAAGAAACAACGTCTTTCAGTTGGCCATCAGACTCCGGAGAGGTAACAACTCTGTTTAAGCAAGAAGTTTTCATAAGTTGTCTATGATTTTCATTGCCTTTTCTCTCTTATTTTCAAAGGAAATAACCAGTTATTGCGTCTTATTAATTCACAGTTTCTATCACCGAGTTCGTTTATTCGATAGAGGAGGAATCTTTGGGTAAGATTGAAAGCATGTGTTTAAATTTTTCTCGTTATCTTTTGTGATAAAAGTAGAGTAGAGAAATGTTTTCCACAAAAGTGCAGAGCTCTCCAATTAAACAATGGAGTCGTAGTATTAAATGAAGAAATTGTGTCAATGTCAAGGTAATAATTTCTTTGTCTTAGTATAGTGTGCCCGTTAATTCGGATTGTGACCTGAGAAGTTGGCATTTCTAGCAAAGAATGTTAAATTATTCCTCTCCTCGAAAAATCGTAAATTGTACGGAACGCGACAAAAAAAAAGTTTTGGAGCTTTTTCGGCTTTGAAATAGTTCTTTGAACAGAGAGTATCGATACAAATCATGGCAAATTTATGCGCAAGACGCATTCGAATACCGATATACCAATACAGTACGCAAGCTAAGCTACTGTCCCCACCTCAGCTCAAAGTGGACTTACTTTGCTGTTACTTAAATCAAACTTGCTTTGCAAAATTTTATCGGCGAATTTCTTTTCATATAAAATTCTTTTCGCCCTTTCGTGCTGTTTGGCTTGTGTGCTTGTATTTTATTGATTAGTATTCAATACTATTGCTAATAAGCTGTAAAAATAATACTCAAGGAAAGGTACATTGAATAGAGGAAATGTTACTATCTTAATTTTACTGTTGGGTTCAGCGTCCAAGTTATTTGTGCGACATACATATCAAAGTAGGTGTTGTTTTGCCTTGAGGCTATGTTTTCTTATTGATATTTATGGATTTATCAGAGCAAAACGAACAAACAATAGGGCAGTTCACGAAATCACGAAAGAAAAGTATCATTCGCCCCGAAAACAAAAGAGGGAATAATTGATTTATTCTATCTTTCCGGGGAAAATTTAGTTTTATGCTCCCTTTTTTGGTTTTTTTGAGGGTGTTAAAATATCATAATGAAATTATTTCAATTGGCTTTGTTGTTGGTGCTGACGTCGTCCTTCACCTTCTACTTCGTCGTCTCAACTTTTTTTTCGTTGATGTCTCTGTTTTGTTGTTGGTGTGTTTCTTCTTTATTGCTTTTCTTCTCTCTTTTTTATCATTAAGAGGGGAACAAAGCTAATTTACATGGGAAATAGAAAATAGAGAAAAGAAAAGGCGAGGAATTCTCAAGAATTCTTGAAGGATTATAGGTGAGGTTCCCTCTTGAAATTAGAATTTAAGTTAAATTTGAATGTAGAACGTAATTTTACAAGTGTAAAGTACTAAGAAAACTTGATTACTTGATATTAATAAACTTGCTATAAAATTCAATAGGTATTTTGCAAATTAATTAAAAAGGATTTAAGTAACCGTATGAAAGATCTTATATTGTTAGATTCAATTATCGAATGAGGCAGAGTTTCATAATTTTGGTCCTTGATAATAAAATTTTGAATTGTTTAATGTTAGTTCTACAAACTTGGGGACGGTATAATTCAGCATATCTGGTAGAACAACTTCGCTCTTCCTTCTTCCTCTTGTTTTTCTAACTCTGCTCCATGATCATCTCTTCTGTTACCGCAATAAATTGTCCTTTACTTGCTCGTGATCAATTTTTTTAATAAGCAGTTCCCACGGGTCGATTAATTCCTAAATTCAGCAAAAGAAATTTTGCCAATGTTAAAGTGATGCTTACCTCGTCAATCAAAAACTTACGAAGCTCACTCACAACAGTCAATCTTGGTTACGATTCGTTCGTTTCTTTCTCGTATTTCAGAGAAATAAGTTTTTCTCAAGTTGACGTTTGACGAAACGCAGTTATTTCAAGCTCGATTCTGCATTTTCACTTTAATCAGAGCCAGACACAGTCCACCATGCCAGGTTTAGTTAAGAATGGCAACTTAATGGTTTTTTGGTGAATTGATCTGAAATAAACTTCAGCTAGCAAGCCACTTCTTGTATTCAATCAAATTGAAGCCTGAATGTTTCAGTCCAATTTCTCAGGCCACACCTTTGCTCGTGAAGCAGGTTTTTGATTTTCTTAACTGCTTTTTTAAATCGTGTCCTGCCAACTTCTCGAGTAACATTTTGTCACTTAAATCTTTGCATTTCACCAGTTTGGGTTGAAAACTGTTTTTCAATCCCTAGCATTAGCACTGTCAAGTTCCTTCCACCCTTAATAACTTCCTGCGGCTTTTCATCATCTTCTCTAACATATTCAAGCTAAAATTCAGTGTATCATTGAACGAAAAATGCACCTCAAAGGGGAAAAGCTCAGAGTTTAAACCAAGTGAATTCATAAAACATTTCATCTAAACAAGAGAATTCATGGCATTTGCCTGTGGCAAAGTGTTATTCGTACGACACTTCAAACAAACAACAAAACAATTGCAGAAGTCACAACGTGATATTGGCTGTTTCGTTCTCGTCTTAAGCTACGGAGAAATAGTTTCATTCTTAACATACTTGTTAATCATTATAAGGGAATTTTTTTCTTTTTTGAGCTTTGAACGATAAAATTCATGTTTTTTTTTTCCCGCTGTTCTTGCAACCCTCTTTTATGTTTTTTTTAAAATTTCTATTGCTGATGTTTATCTTCATCTTACACTTAGTTTTTATAGTTTATTTTTGTTTGCTTGATGGGTTTCTTCCTTGTCCGGCCTTTTTTCTTGTATCTCTTCCTTTTTTTTCCTTGTTCTCCTTCACAGCTTATCCTTTTTTAATAAATTGTTCTCTATTTGCTCGTGATTTTAAACAACTTTTTTACAATTCTTTCATCCATTTATCTATTTCTTTGTTGCCACAGATCCACGAGAACCTAATTATCGATATGAAGAGGGCAATTCTTTTGGCGACATTTATGCTTGTTTTACATCAAACAAAAGGTAACACATTCATCTCGTCTTTATTAATCTTGATTAAAAAATTATGATAACCATTTGTTATTCCCTGTGGGCTTCATGAATTGACGACTATATCGAAGCATTTACGAAATAAAAGAATTTAAATCTGCGATTTCATCGCCGGTTTAATTAAGATTCGTTAACATTTTATCATTATAAAGTGTCTCTTTTCTCACAGCTATAACTAAATGGAATGTATTATTACCCATCATAAATGATGAGAGTTGGAGTTAAAAATTGTTTTCCTACTCCCACTCAGGCCAGCCGACGGCCTCAGTGACTTGTAACTCCAACCACACTGTGGATATATTGATCTCAAAAGTGGATGATGCAGGACTTTGGACCGCACCAGAGTGGACTACAAAGACAAACAAGAAAACATGTCAACCAACAATAGATGATAATGCTAGAACAGTTACCTATGACAAACTACGCCTCCCTGACTGCGCTTTCGAGTCAAACCAGAAAGCTGAAGGAATTCAATACATCCTCAAAATCAGCGCTGCAAAGACTGCAGGTGATTCAAATGGACCGCGGTTGCGCGTTTACGACCACCTGTACTACGTCACTTGTAACTACGATAACACAGGCAAAGTTTCAGGGAGTTTTGTGCCGATGAAAAACCTAGCGGTTAATGAAACAGGTAGGCAGCTCTGGTTAAGATAATAGCATGTATAATCTACTTAAGTAATCTTAGTTTGAATTCCTGCAAAGTGGAGATTCCTGGAAAGCGTCTATCACACCTTTGCCATCGAACATATTGGCCGGCCTTCCATCAGTGCCATGCATTTGTATAAAGTGCATTCGTATTTAGTTTTGTGATAGAGAAACGTTTACTTTTCATCCTTAACGCTACAGGAATATTAGAGCACGCCGGTCCAAAAAGACTTGTTTCAAGCAACTAACATGAAACAATCTAAATTTTAAAGTGCGTCTTTTTTTCGTCGTATCAGTAATTTGTAACTGCTATTGGAGGGCTTTAGTTCTAATTTGAGAGCCATTCTCATTGAATAGATATCTCGACTACTCGTAATTCAATTTGATAATTTAGCCTTGCATTTTTCAGAACGAGCAAAACTCTTAAATAATGCAAAATTAATGTGTTCGATAAAGTCTTTTAAAATTTCTTTTGTTTTTTTTTTTACTTTTCGTTACTCGCTTTTGTGGTCTCTTTTGTCATTTTTAGAGGACGGAGTTTTCACATTTACTCTCGAGGCGTATGAAGACGACGCACATACTACGCCAGTTCCCGACCCTGTTGCTCTGGATGTAGAGATTTACTTTAAAGCTGAAGTCAAGACTCAAAGCGCCACACCCAGCCTTGACTTGTACCCTGTGCGATGCTATTCATCAAAAAACAGAGATCCATCCTCCAGTGAGGGTAAATTTACTATAATAACCAACGGGTAAGAATTTCTGTGATAAAAATTTGCCCGATAAACATGACAAATATATAATTACGACAACAATGATAATAACGATCAATATTAATGTTATAACGTTTTAGACAGAGCAGGACCCACCTCATGGAAGAGCTCGTCAGTAAGGTCCAGTACCGCGGAAAAAAAAAACGAGGTTAAAAATGAAAATAATTTAGAATGATGTGGATTTGATTTGGCATTTAGGCATACAAATTTACAAATGAATTACTTTAAAATTCGAGTTTCAACCGTGATTTACGAGGTGATCGCATCACAACTCAGTTTATTCCAATATTCAATACTTCTGTGCGTGAACTGTCTGGTATCATTATTACTCCCTGTGGTTCTCAATCCAAGTGAAAGATGGCCGCCAGTGTAGACCTTAAATAGACTGACACAGTCTTAATTAAACAGAGTTCTGCCGGAGTTTCTGTGAGACATCGTCAGACTACTGATAAAACATGAGTGAGTAACACTGTTTATTTCTAAAAGAAATAAGGCTCACCTTGAAACTCATTCACAATTTTTTTCAGTTTCTTGCTAATAAAAAGTAAGCCTTCCAAAGCCTTAATTAGAACCTACAATTGAAGTTTTCGGAGGAAGCTATTCTTGTATGCTGTGTGCCTGGTATCAACTCAGAAAATAACATACAGCCGATGCTATGGATTAACATTGATCTTTTCCATTTAAGATAAAATTTGTTACCTCAAATAGTGAGAGGAATTGTGCTTACATTACTTAATTATACCATTTTTCATCATCTCCTCATAGTTGTGGCAGCAATTCTGTCAGCGCAGACCTCATGGACACGTTATCATACTCATGTGCTGACGACAGCATATCTGAAACATTCTCACTCAAAACTTATCGGTATTTTGGAGGAAATCCAAGAGACACTGCTTACATCCACTGCGATTTCAGAGTTTGCTTGGCAGATGTAGCCAATACTGCGTGTGAATGTCCAGATAATCCTGTCACTTGCACAGGTGTTCCATCCGCTGATATTGCACCAGCTCCACCGGCGCGTAGACGTCGTTCAATCTCTGATTCGGTGGATGAGTCACAGCTTTATCATGTTGTCCACGGTCCATTCACCTTTAAGCAAGAAGAAATGAACAAAGAGAAAGGTAAATGTTATTCACAGGGCTTTTAGCCATGGGACAGGAATTTTGTTAGGTGCTTTCCACATTCTCTGATAACCAAGACTGGTTTTCCGTGATAACTGTCCAAGTTAGAAATAGAGGCCGCACGGGGCAACTTGTAGAACGTGGAAGATAACTTGAACATGTCAAATATGATATCAACGGAACAATATGCAATATAATATACTGTAATGAAGACTACAGAAAATAAACAAAGGCTGGATAAAAATCTCCAGAAAGTCGGACTATGAAAATGTTCCTTTCCATGTATTTTCAGTTTTTCTGCCTTTACTGATAGACACTGAACGCTTTAACATTATAATCTACTTATGCCCTCGATAGTTTAACTCAATGATTAACCTGAAATCTATTTGCTTTATTTCAACCCTCGATAGTTTAACTATCGTTAACTATCATATTAACTTGAAATCAATTGGCTTCATTTCAGTTGCATCTGAAGACCAAGAGGAGACCAGCCACACTTACCAGATAGTAGCAATTGTTGGGGCAGTATGTGGTGTTGTGGCTGTATTTTTCATGTGCGCTGCTGTCTACCTTGTCATCCGCTATCGCAACAAGCGCTCGCAAAATCGAGATCTTCCTGTGGCAACCTAAACTCCAAGCACAAATAAGTTGTGTTGTGTAATTGCGCGAATGTCATGTTTTCGTCAAGCAATATTCATTGGAATGATGTGATATGAATAGCAACTCGATAAGGTTCAGTTGTGTTGTGGATGTTGATTGACATAAAATTTCATCTATTTTGAAACGAATAAATGGTTGATCGGTTTTTTCTTCAGATGGTGATAGGAATCAATAGCATTTTCAAAGTTAATGGAACTTTTGTCTTTACTTGTCAAAGAATGATTTCATCAGCTATAACAGCGAAGTCATTGTACTCCTATATTTGCCTGTCACTCTTATGTGCACGATCCAGATAGACAACCCTTCTTTTTAATCTATCATTGTTTCAACACCTTATAAACCTACACACAAGCCTTACAGACAACGTTAAGTTCACACACAATTTCAGGCGTAGTGAGGAACACGTATATGCAGCACAACAAACGGCAGCGTCGTGATTATACTAACCCTTATATGATATCTAACCTAATGCCAGTCTTAGTAAGTATACTCAAGTCGCATGCGGGCCTAATTGCTTTCCCATTCATTGTTTCTTCCACGAGGAGGGAAATAATACAACGAAATGAGACTGACGGCATGTTGTTCTCTCTGCGATAAAAGAGAACAAAGAAAAATATTTAACAGGTACTCGAAAAATTGATGAGACTGATTCTGAGGGAGGATAGGAAGATTTGAGGGGGAGAACACACGCTTTTCAGGGACAACAGAGGGGGGATTAGAAGTCGCCTTAAAGAGTATAAAGCGGGGACAATAGGAAGCTGGCTGCCAATGAATGAGTGATCATTAAAAAACTACAGACGTTTATGAAGGATAGGGTAAACCCAAACCAACACCCCCCCCCTCCCCCCCCCCGCCGTAAAAGGAAAGATAGAGGCCAATTCAGTGATTACATCAAAACACAAATGAATCTCCAGCAAACGAATCGGGATATTCTGGAAATAAACAAAGGTGATATAGCTCCGACCAGTAAATCTGAAACAACCAGGCTCACGTTAAAGATATTAGTATATTAGTGCGTGAAGGAAGGCATTGCGTCCGTACGCTGCTAGCGCGATAGAGTTTCCTACAATGATGGGAAAAGCTAAGGCCTGAGAAAACGCCAGCAAAACATAAGATGGTGAGCGCGATGAACCAGGAACTTCGGAAGTCGTATTCATCACCTCACTCCTTTACTTAGCAAAGAAGTTTGAAAGCTCCACCTTAAATTTGGAGAAGTTTACACTGAAATCATGATAACAACCGCAACATAACTCAGTTTATTCCAATAATTAACCAATACTTCTGTGCGTGAACCGTCGTTTAACCCAGTTCGTGTTGAACTGTCTGGTATCATTATTACTCCCTGCGGTTCTTAATCTAACTGAAAGATGGCCGGGACGGATTCCGTTTCACTCACAAATTTCAGAAAAATCAGAAAAATCAGAAAAATTCACGCTTTACTCATATAAAAAGGGAAAACTTCAGATCTCTCTTCTTACGCACAAGGATTTCATAGAATTCCGAAAGTTTGAAGTTTTCTTGAGCTAAAACAAACAAACAAAAAAAATCAGTGGGTAACGTTTATTTCAGGACGTAAATCATACCTCATGCTAGTTCATAAATTCAAGAATCACGCTGGCTTTCTGTAAAGTTCGTGCGTCACATATCAGTTAGTTTGGCCTTAATCACGCATCACCTTAAACCCTTTATCACCCACCCTATAATAGAGCACCGTTGCGCACAAGGACTTTAATTAACGCTTCAGTTGTGCTCTTAAGTTTCAATAGACCCATTCTTACTGACCTTTCGCTTTTTGTTTATTGCAAAAATAGTTCGGCAAGAAATAACTCATTACTTTCAGTTGGCCATCAGACTCCGGAGAGGTAACAACACTGTTAAAGCAAGAAGTTTTCATGAGTTCTGTCTATGATTTTCATTGCCTTTTCTCTTTTATTCGGATTTACTGCGCTGTTTGAATAATGCATCCATTTTACGAATATCACTAACGCAGTCATACCGCCCCCTTTAGGCAAACAGCCTGCGGAGAATTCAGCCAGCATTGAAATAAAAAAGAAAGGCGACCAGGCCATCAGGAAAAAACCTGTTAAAATGCTGAAGGTCAAAGTAACTTTTCGCTCCTCACGAACTTTGCACGCAACGGCTTTTGCCGTGTCCAAGCCGGCGTTCTACGAACCAGCGAACTTGCAATTCGGAAGATCTTTGTGTACATTGCCAGTATCAAAATATTTGGTAACACGAAGCTGACAGTGAAAACGAAGACTGCATATGCTCTTTTAAGCGTTATCGATGTTTGCATTTGCGAGAGAGCCACCATGATCACTGCCACCAGTCATGCTGTAGATATAAATGTTTTGTACACTCGAGTCGTTAACGTAGGTAAATGGCCTCGAAATCACATAGCAACGTTCGATAGAAATCGCCGTAAAATTAGAGATAGAGGCCAAGGTACTAAATATATCAAAAAACAAATAATTCTCCAGCAAATGTATCGGGATATTCTGGAAATTAACAAACGTGAGATAAGTCCATATCGGCACGGATATACAGCTCCGACAAGTAAATCTGAAAAAACCAGGCTCACGATAAAGATATTAGTGCGTGCGAAAAGAAAAGCATTGCGTCTGTACGTTGTTATCACGAGAGAGTTTCCTACAATGATGAGAAAAGCTAAGGCCTGAGAAAACACCAGCAAAACATACGATGGTGAGCGCGATGAACCAGGAACTTCGGAAGTCGTATTCATCACCGCACTCCTTTACCGAGCAAAGAAGTTTGAAGGCTCCACCTTAAAAATTGGAGAAGTTTACAAATGCAAAAATAATTTCTTACTGATGAATGTCTTATCGAGCAGCGCTTTCCTTTGATAGTCTAATTACCTTTCAAATTTCATTCAAATTAATTACTTAATTCCACCCTTTGCTTTTTGTCTATTGCAAAAATAGTTCGACTGGAAATAACTACTTTCAGTTGGCCAACAGACTCCGGAGAGGTAACAACTCTGTTAAAGCAAGCAGTTTCCATAAGTTCTGTCTATAATTTTCATTGCCTTTTCTCTTTCATTTTCAAAGGAAATAACCAATTGTCGCGTCTTGTCAATTCACAGTTCAGTTCTTTCACCGAGTTTGTTTATTCGATAGAGGAGGAAACTTTTGGTGAGTTTGAAAGTATGTATTTGAATTTTTTCCTCATCTTTTGGGATAAGGGTAAAATAGAAATGTTTTCCACCTGAAATACAGAGCTCTCGAGCTAAACGATAGAGTCGTAGTATTAAGTGAAGACATTGTATCAGTGTCAACGCAATAATATTTTTGTCTTAGTGGAGGGTGTCAGTTAATCCGGATTGTGACCCAAGAAGTTAGAATTCTTAGCAAAGAATACCAAATTATTCCTCTCCCTGACAATCGTAAATCGGCTTTGACATAGTTCTTTGACCAGAGGCATCCATACAAACGATGGCTAATTTTTGCGCAAAACGCATTCGAATATGTGTATAAAGGAGTAAAAGAAACTGTGGTGCTGCGTCGATGGGAGAGTATAGCAGGTAATTTAGTGTTAACAATTGAGTTGAAAACGTAAATTAGCCATCGTAAAGGGTAAAAAAGCTGACGTTTCGAGCGTTAGCCCTTTGTCCATCGCTCTGACGACGAATATATGTATATCAATATGAAAAGGGTACACAAACTAATCTACTGTCCACACCGTCCTCAGCTCAAAGTGAACTTGTTTTGCTATTACTTTCATCAAACTCGTTTTGCAGAATTTTTTCAGCGAACATTTTTTTATTTAGTATTTTTCACCTTTTCGTGCTTTTTGCCTTATGTGCTTGTATTTTATTGACTTTTAATAACCTCCACCTATCATTTTCAACGCTTCACTGAGGGCTTAGACTTCAACTTACGATCTGAGGTAAAGTAATACAGCTTCTCTATCATCTACAAGCTGTAAAAACAATACTCAAGAAAAGGTATATTGAATCGAAGAAATGTTTCAAAGTATCGAAATTTCACCTTTGGGTTCAGTGTCAAGTAAGTCGTGCGATCAAAGAAAGTATTGTTTCACCTTGAGGCAATGCTTTCTCATCGCTATTTACGGAATTTTAGAACAAACAAAGAAATAATAAGGCAGTTCACGAAGTCACGAAAATATAATTCTGTATTTTTACTTTTATTAGAGCCAGACACAATCCACTATAACAGATGTAGTTAAGAATGGTGAATTGATCTGAAATGGACTTCAGCTAGCAAGCCACTCATTGAATTCAATTACGTTTAAGCCTGAGTGTTTCGGTCCAATTATTCAGGCCACAGCTAAGCTCGTGAAACTGGTTTTTGATTTTTTTGAGTTGCCTTTTTTAATCATGTCTTGCTGACTTCTCGAGAAACATTTTGTCGCTTAATTCTTTGCATTTCACCTATTCGGGTTGAAAACTATTTTTTCGGTCCCCAATGTATTGTCAATACTCTGCAAGCGCCTTCCACGCTTAGTTGGAGATTCAAACGTAAATAACTTCCTCCAGCTTTTCATTAGCACCTTTAACATATTCAAGCCAAAAATCATTGTATTATTCAACGAAAAGGGCACCTCAAAGGGACAAAGCACCAAGTTTTAAACCAACTGAATTTTGCTGTTAAGGTCAGAGCCTATTGTATTCTTGTGACATACATATAAAAGAATTCATGGATTTTGCTTGTGGCAAAGTGTTATTAGAACGCCACTTCAAACAAACAAACAAACAAACCACAAAACAGTTCTAGAAGTCACCATGTGACATTGGCAGTTTTGTTCTCGTCAAATGATCACATATAAAGCTATTGTCCGTTTTGAGAAAAACTGTGCCCGAGGTCTCTTTGTTGCTTCCCCTGTTCTTACAATCCTCTTCTATGTTTTTCTTTAAATTGTTATTGCTGATGTTTATTTTCATCTCGCACTTAGTTTTTTATGGTTTATTTTTGTCTACTTGTTGATGTTGT